TCACTGTCCTTGGTGCCCACTGTGACTACATTATAAATTCCAAAAAAACATCATATTGAGTAATGTAACCCAGACCCAGAAAGACAATATTCATATGTACTCATTCATAAATGGTTTTAAGACATAAAGCAAAGGAAACCAGCCTACAAATCACAATCCCAGAGGACCTAGACAACAATGAGGACCCTAAGAGAGACATACATGGATCTAATTTACATGGGAGCATGGGGACCACGGAAGAGAGTTAAAAGGGAGGGAGAGGAAGGTAGGAAAGCAAAATATATAGATTAATAAAAAATAAAAAAACAAATAAATTCCTATTGCTGAAGATATCACATTTAAGTTGTATACTATAGAAAATCTCTCATGGACTGAGAAACTCCCTTTAAGACTGCTAGGTTTATCCTGTCAGAAAATATTATGTGGGCTGGTTGGAAGAAAGTGAAATAAGGTCACACAGAGCTGGATACTGTATATAGCAACAATGATCTGCCAGACAAGATGTGCCCAATGGTGCAATAGAAATATGGCTCTCATGGAACAAAAACTGTTTTCTGACTGGATATGAGGCCAGACAAATAGGAAGAAATTTTGTGCCTGGTCTTGTCCTAAACCCCATGGATGAAGGAGTAGAATCTGCTGTCGGGCTTTCACTAAATGGTTATGTTGTCAGTTTGTCTTATGATAGTTTATATTTTTACCCACATACCGCAAATAATCTCAACCTTAATTAAAGAAGATTTTTGTGGTAAACAGCAGTAAATGCACAGATGCTTATCTGCTCAAAGTGTGGAGGCTATGAGACTTAGTACTCAACAAGAATAGAACGTACTCATTAATTCTCCACTACCCAAGCTCAGAAAACATTGAAGAAAAAGAGGCAGAAAGAACAGAAGAACAGAAAAATGAAGTAGAATGCTAACAAATGCTGTCTTCTGGAATGACACTCTTGGACTGACAGTAGTCCTAATTACCTGTACCAGATCATGTCAGCCAAGATCTTGAGGTCAAGTTTTCATGAGGAATTTTTAGCAGTTGATAGCCAACAGAGGAAAGAGAATAAGTTATTTTTTCCCCCTTTGGAGTGACCTCTGGTAGGTTCCCATCTTCTAGTTGGTGAATCCCACATTCATACATATATGTACAACAGTAACTGGATTTAGTATTTTAACCAAAAAAAGAATAAAGTCATGACATTAAGAGAGGGCATACTGCAAATGATTTATCAACCACAAATGTAAATTGTGTAAACATTCTTACTTAGGCTTGAATTGATGCAGATTTAATACTGAATGACTCTGTCTCTATCTCCATCCATCGTCAGATGAAGATTCTATGGTGATATGCAAGATATTCATCAGAGTGTCACATGCAAGCCTGTATTCTCACACATAAACACATACAGAGCTATATTACAAAAATTTACCAGAACTTTTAACTTTAATATAATGTTTTAGGTTTAATAAATTTTGAAAACAGGTAATTTTTAAATGTAAATTTCTGTTACATATAAATTTGTATAAATACAAAAATATGATATCATAACCTGCTAAATGTTTTTTTAAATTCATTTCCTGTTACTTTTATTACAAAACAGTAGAAACTTGTTTAATTATACAGTATATTTTAAATTAAAGTTTCTCTGTCATGTTATGAACTCCAACTTCCCATTAAGCAAGTTTGGGTCCTTAAGTTTTGCACTGTGTTGCATAGCGTTACCCAGTACTTGTCTTTTTGCATTGGTTTGCTTTACTCAGCATCATAGTATCCAGGTTCAACTTTTATTATCACACATTGCACTCTTTAAGTTGAATGATATTTCTGTTTGTATTTACTTTTAATTTATCTAATCATATGTCAACAAATAAAGCACTTTCCATATTTTAGATTTTTTAAAGCGTTCTACAGTAAGTATGAACATATTAACTTCTTATGATATTACTATCGCTTCTTTTATATGAAATCTTAAATTTGGATTGCTAGCATATACAATTACTAAATGTACAAAGTCACAGATGAATATACCTTTGCTTCTGGCAATTAGTGGCTAAATTCCTGGCATTTCATTAATATTTCAAATGCTTCAGGGATAATCTGCAAATTGTATGGCATCTCCTTAGGGGGAGTTGCAAAAGGTGAAAAAATCTTTAAATTGTACTCAACTATGCCTTGTTAATCAACACACGGATGAATCAAAAGAAGTTTCATTACAAGTCACAATGACAGACAGTTTGTGTGTCCAGAATCTAAAGCAATGACTGAGTTTGCTCAGGTTTTGTCATCACAAGTAAGTGACTGTTTCTGACGAAGTTTTTGTGATTTATGCCTCCCAAGACATCTGAGGAACAACTGGATTTCTCTCTTTTTTCCTTTATGCCTCCATTTTCAGATTATATTTGAATGTATTGAAATACGATGAGAGAGTAAGCAACATGTTAACATGTACTTCATGTTGTCTTAGAAAATATTTGTTTGCATACATGTGTGTGCTTATAAATGCAAATTATTGTATTTATTATGAAAGCCAAAAATGATAGGAAGAGACAGTGCATAGGTGTCATATGCATTTATATATATGTGTGTGTTTTACACACATAGATACACATACACACATATTATGAAACCATTATATATATATATATATATATGGCAAAATTTGAAGCTGTAAATTTTCAGTATTTCATTTTCATATTTGTGCACAAGTGACTTAACTTCTTTGGTGATGTTTTTAAATCATTTTTAAAATTTAGTATTTTTAAAGGAATCCAGAGTATGTTACTGAATGAGTATTTGTTTCTTGATGTTTATCTTGGACTCCTTTTCCTTCTGTTTATTTTTTCTCCAATTATGATCTTTTTATCTTATGTATTATATTTTATTATTGTCTCTTAGAAACCTGTTTGTTTTCTAATGAGAGACAAAAATGGAACAGATCTAGATGGAAGAAGAAGTAGAGAGGAACTGGGATAGTAGAAAAAGGTGATATGGTAATCAGGATATATTACATGAGAAAAAAATATTTTCAAAAAAAGAAAAAATACAAATAAAATAATTTTCAACATTTTTTTTCTCTTTGAAATCTTTTGCCCATTAGTCCAAAGGGAATTTCAAAACTTTCCTTTGATAATAACCTGTATTTCTCCTAATTTCCTCTGATTTCTTTATACTCCTCAAGGTTCATATTTATATAATATACATCTTAACCTATGAGTTGAAACCCCTTTGGGGAAGGGGGTCAATGACCCTTTCACAGCAGTCTGCATAGTGAATATTTAAATAGTTATTTACAACAGTAACAAAATTATAATTATGAAATTATGACAAGATAATTATATGGTTGGGGATCACTACATGAGGAAATGTATTACAGGGTCAGGTCATAGCATTAAGAATGTTGCAAACTACTAGTCTAGTGTGACTTGTTTTTCTGTATGGAATGGTTTTGGAGTTTTAGGAAATATTATAGAAAATGGCTGATATATAGTATGTACTACCCAGGAGTCATTTGAAGCAGCAGGCACTCCCGAGCAGTCATAACACTCATATAAATGTTGAACATAAAGCAAACTAAACAATATGTATCAATGTGTATGCTGGCAACAAAGTAAAGCAGGAAATAATACCTTAGAGATTGATGCCTCTTTCTGAAGATTAAGAGGTTTGCTTGAAACATTATTACAGACATTAAGGATATATGCCTTGCCATGTAGGAAGCTGGGGTGCGGTCTCAGGATAACAAACCATGATGGATACTGATTGCTTCTAATAAGATAAGAGTGTGAATGTCCTTGAGACTTTGGAGCTTCCAAAGTTTCTTTGCAATATTCTGCTTCACAGACTGTATCGTATATACACCACTGCTTTTTATATTATTCTACCCATATTTTTGTAACTATAAACTGTTTTTTAAATAAAAAATAATAATTTCTCATGAGGTTTACTGATCCACAAGAAATAAATTTTAAGATATTTTTGATCATATGAAAATTCTCACATAGCTATTTTACATGGAAAATTAGCCAGAGAAAAGAGCTAGGTGAGGGTAACTGTTGGCTTGATGGAAATGATGGGATGGAAATAGGCAGAGGTTTCCAAAGGAAATGAACGATTGAGCTGTAGAGTTTCAGAGTCAGGGTATATCTTTAAATCATGAATTTAAAGGGGCTGGGAAGGTGACTCAGCTGGTAAAGTGATTGATGTACAAGCAGAATGACCAGAGTTCAATCCCCAGGACTTAAGGGAGGGGTAAGGGCAGTGCCACACACCTATAATTCCAGCTTTGAGCAGACAGAGCTAGGTACAACCACAGTCCTCAAAGTCAGCCTGTTTATTCTGTGATACAAGGGTCAGTGAGAGATAAATAAGTTGTAAGTGACTAAGAAAGATTGACATCAACCCTTCTCTTTCAAGTGGTCATCTTTACACTCACTGGCAACATATTCACATGCATATGGTCACAGACACACCACACACACAGGGAACTTCAATGCACAATAATTTATTGAGAGTTGTTGCAGTAAAATGTTTGTGATGTTGAATTGGAAAACAGTAGTTGTCTTCCTCTGTATATGTATAGACTTAATAACCAAGTCCATGATCCACACATTGGGGCACTCACTCACGAACAAGATTGTCACAAACTTTTTCATTTGTTATCAATATTCTTTTGCATTAATATGTGTGTGTATCTTTCTTCACTAGTTATCTATCCATTATAAAATAGTAGATTTGCGTTCTCATTACTATAATCAAAACATGTATAGACATTGAAAGATTTTCTCCTGTGAGTAAAGTCAATAAGTTGCAAAAATTTGAATTATTTTTCTCTATTTCTAGATATATTCATTTATAAAAGTCTTTTTAATCTTAAATATTTTATAACTGAAAGATTGACTCTTTTTTGAAAATACTACCTTGCATAACTTGTCAGGTGATACTATTGGAATGAACTAATTTTGTTATTGTGCCTCTTTTCAGGAGAGATTTTCTAATAAAACTTGATGGAAAAACAAAACCTCACAGTAGTGACTGAGTTCATCTTGATGGGTATCACTGAGCGCCCTGAACTGCAGGCACCATTGTTTGGACTGTTCCTGGTCATCTACATGAGCTCCATGGTAGGCAACCTGTGCATGATCATCCTCCCCACAGTGGACTCCAGGCTACAAACACCCATGTACTTCTTTATCAGACACCTGGCTATCACGGACCTGGGTTATTCTACAGCTGTGGGACCCAAGATGTTAATAAATTTTGTTGTAGATCTAAACATAATCTCCTATAACCTTTGTGCTACACAGCTAGCTTTCTTCCTTGTGTTTATAATCAGTGAACTCTTTATTCTGTCTGCCATGTCCTATGACCGCTATGTGGCCATCTGTAAGCCTCTGCTCTACACTGTCATCATGTCCCAGAGGGTGTGTAATGTGCTCGTGGCAATCCCCTATTGCTATTGCACATTTGTCTCCCTGTTAGTCGTCATAAAGATTTTCACTTTGTCTTTCTGTGGTCCCAACATCATCAGTCACTTCTACTGTGACAGTCTCCCCTTGATATCTTTGATCTGCTCAAACACTCATGAGATTGAAATGATTATTCTGGTCTTGGCAGCTTTTAATTTGATTTCCTCTCTTCTGGTTGTTCTTGTGTCCTACCTGCTCATCCTCGTAGCTATTCTCAGGATGAACTCAGCCGAGGGCAGACGCAAGGCCTTTTCTACCTGTGGGTCTCACTTGACAGTGGTCACTGTCTTCTATGGGACTTTGATATTTATGTATGTGCAGCCCCAGTCCAGTCACTCCTTTGACACTGATAAAGTGGCTTCCATATTTTATACACTGATTATCCCCATGTTAAATCCCTTGATATACAGTATGAGGAACAAAGATGTAAAATATGCTCTACAGAGGACATTGAGAAAGATATACAGCATACTCTTTTAACTATTATATGTTTGAGGAACTCTACAAAACACAATTCAACAAATATCTTTTTGTCCAAATGTTTACCCTACACAAATGAACATATTATATATTTAAAGATTGCCATTCTTTATACTAATGTGTATTATAAGGTTATAAATACATCAGTAAAAATTCATTTGCCTTTAAAATTATTTACATATGTATGTGCATATCTCTGCATGGATGGATACCAAAGGACCACTCGCAAGAGTCATTCCTCCACTTCTACCACATGGGCTCTCAGGGTAGAATTCAACAGCAAGGTATTCATCCTGCCGAATTATCTTCTTGGCTCCCCTTAACAAGAGGCATGAATTGTAACATATAATTGAGAAATTTTCTACCATAACAGACTGTATTTAGCTCTATAAACATATAAACATGAAGAAAAGTATGTATGCACAGTTGTAAAAACCAACTGTGGTTACATTTGAGGACTTGGTTTGCTCTTTGTGACATCCTATTGCAAGGGATTTTCTAGTATCTATATGTATTATATATGTTTCCCCCCTTTCAGGCAGCATAATACTTCTGCTTATACTTCTTATGTTCCTATGTATATTGTTTTAAAATCACATTCTGATACTCTGTCAGCAGACTCATAGTCACACAATGACTAGAATTACTACAGTATATACTTAGGCTCAAATGTCCCTATGTTATTTGGAATTCTTAAGGTTTCTTGCTTTCATATACAGCTTGAGAGATCCTGTCAACATAACACAACTGAGTTTTGGTACCATTTTGCTTCAATTTAGTCTTTAAGTTTTTCTAATACAGTGTACTTGTGCATATTAGTGAATAAACTCATTATAATATACTCTCTGAGTTCTGCCATAGAAACTTCCAGAATTAGTTTCTTTTTTCTCACTGACTTGTTTTCATGTACTTAACCAGACAGTTGTATAGAGGCATTGATCTTTGGCCTTGGGTGCCGCGTACCGTACCCCTATGTCTGTGCTCTTTGCGCTGGCACCCAGTTTGCGAGCTTTAGGCAAGGGGCTGGAGGTTAAAATACAACAGACACACACAGACAGAGAGACAGCGACACAGGTCATCCTTGAATTCCCCAAGAATGCCCCCTTTATTGTGTTCGGGGGCAGATTATATAGAGATAGCCACGCCCCAGCCAAACCCACCAGAAACCACTCTCCTGCCATCAGGAACTCCTGAAGGTCTCGTGCTCAGAGCAGCTGTAGGGGATTACAAGATGAGGGGATTACAAGAAATTCAGGATCTGGGGTCTCACTGCTCCCAACACTTGGGTTGCCAATGTCACTGAGGATGTAAAGTCCCTTAATGAAATACTGTTCCCTTTTGGTCAGAAAATGTAATCTGTGACTCTGGTAAAGGACTAATATAGTTGAGCAGGTCACTTAGATAAGAGAACAAAAAAAAAAAAAAAGGAAGCTGAGTTCACCATAAGCTATGGTAGATGGATGGAACAATAATAAGATACTGTGCTTTCCTTCCTCTAATTTCCATTCCTGAGCAGTGAATATAGGAGATACCAGGAAGTTAAACAAGGTCTCTGAAACTATTCTTGTTTTTTCCTCTTCTATTCTTTTATTTTCAATACTGTCCAGACCCTAAGTCTTGTGGTGATTTTGTTTGTTTGTTTCTGTTTTGCTTCTTTCGAGGGGGTCTTCTTTCCTCCTTATTAATAGAGCATTGGGTATTGCTACACTAGTCTCTAAAACTCCCCTCTCCTCTACGAGGCTCCTTATCTACTATGAAGCTGACTTTCAAACTATCTTAGCTTAGAGAGAGCATGGGTTTCTCTCTTCCTCTTCCTCATCTTCCTCCTATTGGCAGGTGTGAAGGTCTACAACCTGCCTTCTTTGAAGTTTTTTCTAAACTCTATTAAAAGCCCTTTTTTTAGTTTGTTTTTGAATTTTTGGTGGATAGTACAACAAACACTATGGGATCCCCGCTTCCATTTGGTCATCAACATTCCCTCCAGTGACAGGTTTCTCTGCACATAGTGGACATTTACCCTGCTCTTAATGTGTCTGAGAGAGGCAGATGTTGTCTGGACACTGTATTCTAGGCCCTCTTACATGAATATCAGCAAGAAATTTGACAATGGAAAGGGGTACTTTTATATTTCAGAGACATGGCAGTGGATACTGATACCATTTTTATAGGAACAATACTCATATATTTACCATAATAGGCCTTCATTCATCTTTTTCCTTTTCATTTTATTGTGCAAAGCAAGAGGTTGACAGTTTAGTATTTTAAATACAGAGTATACTACTGTGGACAAATGCTTCTTAGAAGATTGCGGCAAAACGTTTTTTGTATGATTGAAACTCTATGTATATATATATATATTAATAAATAATCATTTCTCACACCTCCCTTCCTTTGAGCTCAATATTTGATTTTACCATGATGCATTACTCTAAACTCCTCAAGTAGATGGCAGCAAGTGTTTGTCCTATAACTGATATATTTATTCAGGGTCCTAAGATTATCTTTGCTATTACAAGTGGCAGGACATCTTGCTTTAAGCTGAGTAATATTCTACTTTAAACTGACTGATATTTTTGTATAAAACACAGAAACAGGTTTTAAGAGAGAGGGCAAAAGAAATAAATTGGTTAAAAATTGTCCCTAACAATTATTGGACCATATGAAATACTCTAGGGTAATCAACAAATTATTCAACAATTCCTTAAGGAGAGTCTCTAAAGTTTTTGAATTATAAATTATCCTAAAATTTCCATATTAAGGGACAAGATAAAGAATTAGGAGAGGAGCCTTATTCCAGGTAACAAAGATAGAAAGTTTCCTGGGGTTCTGTGTGTAGATAGAATCAATGGTAATGGCCAATTACTTCTGTGGCATTCTTGTGCAATGTAAGTGCCTATCTCTGACCCAGTCTGCAATTCTTGCTTTTCCATGATATAGATTCAGACTCATGTGCTTTATTCTTTGTTTTTATTTTTGTATCTTCTAGTAAGTTGAAATGACACTTATTATTTCAGTTTGAAAAATATTTCTGTCTGCATATAATTTTATAGGCATAAAAGGGCAGATATAAGAAAAAGAAACCATTGATTAAAAAGCATAGTCCAGATGTTGTGATTTTTGCTTGCTTATTTTGTTCACATTTTGAGAGAGAACTTTTGGGAAAAGAAAGCATGCAACCTCCTTCCAAATAGGTATTTAAAGTCTGTAGATAATTTTTGTCTTTCAGACATTCTTTAAATAAAAATATATGTGAGACTCATTGCTAACCTTCTTGTAATACTAACATACTGTTAGTATTACAGGATTTTCACATATCCATTTCTGTGGTAATGACACAATGCCATTTTTTCATGATAGAAGATGATTAAATTTTTCTGGATCATGGTGTTATAACATAAACCAAAAGGCTCAATATGAATATCAAAGTTTGAAATAGCTATACATTTATTTTCATTGAACTTCAATACAGCTAAAATGAAGCACCAGCATCTCCTTTTACTTAGAAGGCTGTAGATGCTTATTAGATGCAGTTAAGAGTGTTATATTTCAGATTATAATTCAAACATCAGCAAGATCCAGAAGCAATACTTAAGCTCTATAGAATTCTACAAATTATTTAAGGTATTTTACAAATGCTATGATTTGATTTGCTTTTTTATATAAGGAAGATGCACAGATGGAGGGGAAGATATAAGGTAGTAATATTCAAGCAGACAGTATTCTTAGAAATGCAAATTTATATACAATGAGCTTCTTATATCATTGTGAAAAATTATGTTTGTATTTACAAGGATGACTGTCCTAATTTCTGTTGTGAAGTGTGTAAGTAAAAAAACCTAAAAGTTATTAATAGCTGTGATTTTTACATGAAATAACATCTGTTTATTAACTTTGAATAAATAATAACTTGATTCAATTTCTGAACATCATGATGTGTTTAGTAACTTCTGTACTATTAGCTGTATTCAGATTTTTCTAAGCACACCTAATGTATACATTAATACAATATAAACATGTAGATAAATTCTCATGTTATATTGCATTGAGGATTCAAATCTTGCACTTAAACATTTATATATACATGTTATACTAATGTGAATATATGGCATATTTCACATTTAATATGTACATATATGGCCACATTAAACATATTATATAAATGTTATATTAATATGAATATATGACAAATATCTCATTAATATACAAATACATTAAACTTGTGTTTTATATCTATAATAATGCAATGTAGAATTACAAGATCAATTGCCAAATGTCAATTTTTTGTCTTTTTATAATACCATTCTTGAGAATAAGAGAGAATTTTATTAGCCTTAATGTGTAGCACCAAAACCTTTTTTTTTTTTTTTTTTGGTTTTCCTTTGTTTTAACTAATTTGCTACTATTACCAATTACATCTGCAGTATTGGGCATGAAAAAATTAATGTGCTTTGCTGCACACAAGTATGCATATTTCAATGAACATGAAACTGTACTTGGACATGAATAATGCTTAGGATAATTCATGTGAATATAACTCCTGCTAACAAGGTGATGACTGAATTCATCCTGATGGTCGATATTAATGGTCTGTTCTCTATTCACTCACCTTTAAAAACAGATAAAGAACACACGCACACAAACACACACAACTTCTTTCAATTAAATTGTTGTTACCATTTCAAAATAGAAATACATACATAAAAATGTCATCATTGAAAATGACTTTCATATACCATGGGAAAAAATGAGTAATTTTGTGATACTTTTTCCTTCCCAAGAGCACAGAATGGTTTCTTTCATATAAGATTATAGTTTTTAAATAAATTACATACCCTAAGTAAACTCTGAAAAAACAAAATCAGTATGGGTTCTAGATTATATCTATATGATATATAATTGAATTATTTTTTCACATAAAACTATTTTGTGTGTCAATTGAAATTTTTTAAAATATCACTCTAGTATCCATCAATTTTAGCAACACTTTTGGGATGACTAACTGTACTTAAAAGGATAATATAGAATTATTAACTTTTTGTTAATGTAACATTTTTGTTATAGCCTAGCCTTGCCTCAACTTTATTATGGAGGCAGGATGATCTTTAGCACCTAATTTTCACTCTCTCAGTGTCCAATTGTTCTGAGATTGCAACACGCACATCTCCCTTGATGTTAAATATCTAAAATATATTACTATGTATTAATTGTAGGAAAATCGAGTCTGACGGTGACTTTTTAAATGCACATATGATAAATTCTGATCATGTTCAATTCCATGTTACCGTATTTTGTCTCTCTCAACTACTTGATATTCCTCTAGCTCTTCTCTAAAAATAACAATGTTTTAATTTTTGAAATACTATGAACTTTACAAGTTACTCAATAGAAATCCTTATTTACGTAAATGTTTAATATACTTCATTGTCAAATGAGTTATTAATATCATTTAAAAATTGCATTTATATGATTGCAACAGCTAGAAAATGTAAACTCTAAAATAACAATTTACTAACCAAACATCACATTTACATTTTTATATTTCTAATCAAAATGTAATAATGTTTCCCACTTTTCTTTTTCTAGCACCTTCCATGGCTTCTTCCTATAACACTTCCCATAACCCTTACTCTTAAATTGATAACTTAATTTTCTGTTACAATTATAGTTACACAGTCACACTCACACACATACACACACATCCAAATACATAAATAAAATCAGGGAATTTTTTATAATGTTGTGTGTGTGCATGTGTGTGTGCATAATTTCATAGAAAACAACATTAGTTTGGACAAACAATGAAGGGATTCACCACCACAGAATAACTAATTGCCTGTAAATTTTATGAAGAGATAGTAAACTGTAATATTTTCCCACTTTCACGATGGCATGACCCCTAAATTTTATATACACTTAAAATTTTTCAGTTATTCTTTTAGGTATCTTTAATTTATATTATAATATGTAAACCTTTTTACATGCTTTTGTGTCTATTTTATTATTTTTCCAAACTAGCTATCGTATCCTGTATATCTATACCACATACCTATCTCAGTTTTCCAAACACATCATTATTGACAATTCAGATAGAATTTTTCTTGGACACAATATGATATTCACTGATTTACATACAATTTAGGTATTATATATCAGTGGAAGCCTTCTTCCCAGTGTGTTATATAAATATCAATATAAATATAATACTATTATCTTTCGTTCACGAATCTGTAGTTGTGGAAGTCTTCTTAACAAAATTGTAATATGTATATTTTCAAACATGCCCACACATCATATATATGGAAGTATTGATGTGCCATATTTCAATAGTGTTACATAATGAATGCTTTGCATGTCAAGTATTTTTATGCTATTAATTATGATGATGTCTTTATCAAGTATATTTTTTGATACAGGAGAATGAAGGAACACAATATCACAGTATTGACTGAATTCATCTTAACGGGCATCACTGACAGCTCTGAGTTGCAGGCCCCATTGTTTGGGCTGTTCCTTGCCATATACATGACCACAATGATAGGAAATTTGGGAATCATTATTCTCACCACAGTGGACTATCACCTCCAAACACATATGTACTTCTTTCTCAGACACCTGGCTATTACAGATCTTGGATATTCTACTGCTGTGGGACCCAAAATGTTGGAAAATTTTGTTATAGACCAAAATACAATTTCATTTAAATTTTGTGCCACGCAGCTAGCTTTTTTTCTTGTATTCATTGGTAGTGAGCTATTCATTCTATCAGCAATGTCATATGATCGCTATGTAGCCATCTGTAAGCCTCTGCTTTATACTGTCCTCATGTCACGAAAGGTGTGTTGGGTTCTTATGGCAATGCCGTATCTTTATTGCACATTCGTGTCTCTTCTCATCACAATTAAGATTTTCACTTCTTCTTTCTGTGGTTACAATGTCATTCACCATTTCTACTGTGACTGCATCCCCTTGCTGTCCTTACTCTGTTCAAATGCAGAAGAAATAGCATTTATTGTTATGATCTTTGCAGCTTTTGATTTAATCGTCTCTCTCCTTGTTGTCCTAGTGTCCTACATGCTTATCCTCACTGCAGTTCTCAGGATGAACTCTGCAGAGGGCAGGCGGAAGGCTTTCTCAACATGTGGGTCCCACCTAGCAGTGGTGACAGTGTTCTATGGGACTTTGATCTTTATGTATGTGCAGCCCCAGTCCAGCCATTCCACTGACACTGATAAGATGTCTTCCATCTTTTACACCCTGGTCATCCCAATGTTGAATCCCTTGATATATACTTTGAGGAATAAGGATGTAAAATCTGCGTTACACAGGACTTGGAGAAATATTGGCAATATTTTTTCTTAGGGGTTTTTATAATACGATAATCCTGCATATCCTATATTGCTTTGTAGATTTCTAGTTTTATTTATTTGCCTGCAAATTTCATGATGTCATTGATTTATACTGCTGAGTAATACTACTTATGTAAATGTACCACATTTTCTTTATCCATTCTTCTGTTGAGGTGTATCTAGGTTGTTTCCAGGTTATGGCTATTATGAATAATGCTGCTGTAACCATAGTTGAGTAAGTGTCCTTGTAGTATGCTTGAACATCCTTTAGTTATATGCTTGAGTAGTATTACAGGGTAGATTGATTCCCACTTTTCTTAGAAATAACCATACTCATTTCCAAAGTGGCTGTATGTCAGACACCAGATTAAAAAAAAAAAACACCATTTATCTTGGCAGGGGCATGGAGATCAGAAAAGTTAGTATAATATGAATACAAGAGTAAAAATAATAAAGCAGAAACATAGAATAGTATTGGGAAGGAGTTCCACTGAATACTGAAAATCCCTGCCTTTAATATTCTATACACCTTTATACTTCAGTGCAGAGGGTGAAAGAAGGCAACAAAAGACTTCTTTGATGTGATACAAAGAACAACTCAAACAGTTAATTGCTTCAATACATCAAGTCATTAACATTATGTTGTTTAGGCAGTGAACTGATCCTAGACCAAGTATCCTGAAAGCAGCTACCCTCAAGGTCAAGCCAAATAAGAAGCAGAAGTCTGCTTGCAGATCCTGACCATTTGTCTGGGTGGAGTGCATCTACCTATAAGGGCCGTCTTAATGTCAAAAGAACCAAGTAACTAAATCAGGTCAGGATGTGTAGCCCTGGTGGTTGTCAACAAGTTTGAGAAACCTCAAACTCTCTGACCTTTAGACAAGGTACAAATAAGACTCTACAATTGTACAAGTTTGTACTTCCAGCAGCAGGGGAATAGTGCCACATCCTCTTCAACAGAAGCTGTCATTAGTGTTTTTGATCTTAGCCATTCTGACTGGTGTAAAATGGCAAATCAGAGTCAAATTGATTTACATTTTCCTGATTATTAAGGATATTGAGCAATTCCTTAAATGTTTTTGGCCATATAATATTGTTTTATTAAAAACTCTTGGTTTAGATCTGTACCACATTTTGTATTATTAAATTTATTTTTTAACACGAACTTTTCTCATTTTACATAGCTATCCCCATTTCTACTCCCTCCCATCCTTCCTCCAACTTCCACCCTCCACCTCAGCTGCACATCCACACCTCAGAGAGGGTAAAACTGTGCTATCAGTCCAGAGTCAATGAGCTCACTAGCTCAGGTCAGTTGTTTCTGTGAGTATCCCCATTATGATAATGACCCTTGCTCATATTATAACTCTGTTAGTAGAATTGTAAATTTCCCCAGCTGCTGTGGGACAATGGTCTTGTACCCTGTAAAGATTTGTCAGTTGTATTGTTTTAATAAAACACTGATGGGCCAATAGCCAGACAGGAAATATAGGCGGGGCAGTGAGAACAGGAGAATTCTGGGAAGAGGAAAGACTCAGTCTGTAGTCATCACCCAGACACAGAGGAAACAAGATGAGGATGCGTCTCTGATAAAAGTTACCAAACCATATGGTTAACACAGACAATGGTGGTATGTGCCTTTAATCTTAGCACTCCAGAGGGAGAGCCAGGCAGAGCCAGGCCCATCTCTATGAGCTCAAACCTAGCCAGGTCTACAGAATAAGTTTCAGGATAACCAAGCTTAGGCAGTGAAAGACAGAAATTTAGTAAAGATTCTGAAAGATTCTAAATGCATTTCTGAGGCCTCTCAGCTCTAAAGACATTTTTTGAAGCCTCACCATTTGGAAATGGAACAGTCACCCACACACAAATGCTGGACTGCTCATCCTCTTCTGTCCTTGTAAATAATCTTCAAACATAACTCCATTCTGGGAATTGAGGCAAAGACAATCCACAGATGTTGACTTAGTTCCTGATATATTGATTCAGTCACTAGAACAAGGTCAAGATGGCCCACAGATGCTCTCCCTTACTTCACCCAGCTATTCTCCTGCCCTGGCACAGACTAATCACTACTAGTAACCCTTTAAATAAGCCAATCCAATTAGTTGGAAAACAACCCTCAGGTTCCCCCCCCCCTTATGTCTGTGGCTTTTTGCTTTAGAAGACAGATATTGGATGTCCTTCATATCCTGAACCTGAAGGGCCCTGTCATGATAGAATAAAAATCCTCTTGCTTTTTCATCAATTGAGGTTGTGTGAGTGGTGTCTGGAGCAACTCCTCCCTGATGTTTGGACTTTGAGTCTAACAATTTAATTAATCAGGGTGACCATGTTCCAGTCCTAGCAAGCAGCAGAACTTAGCAACATTGGCCATGTGGTTCTGGCTTTAGCATTAAGGATAAAAGAAAGGAATTGTGATCCTGTGGTTCTGGTCAACTGGGTTAGAAGAATCAGCTGTGTTTAACAAAACACCAGAACTACTAAAGCAAAATTTTGATGATGGTTAGATGGAACTAAGTAATTAGTAATTATTGAGAAGAGACTAGCGTCGCTAAGGTTAAATAATCTAGGAAGTATTTCCTGAGAATACAGGGTAGCTGTGTTCCAAAGGCGGCCAAGATTGTACCTCATGCTGGCAGCCAGACTATTAGGCATGAGTCACCCAGATAGTATTGGTTTTGGAGGCATGAAGGGGTCATGGTGTGAGGCAGAGCAATAGTGCAAGCATAAAGAAGACCACGCAAACCACAAGGAGTATGTGAAATTGGTCAAGACAACCTGTCAGTAGACCAGAAGCAAGGTAACTAATGATGCACACTCCTAGCCAGTCACAACATCCCAGTTGTGACTGTCAGTTTCAACAGGATCAACATGAAACATTCCGGTCTCAATTTCCCTAACTACCACTTGTTTATAACAAAGAGCTTCTGTATTGGAATCTCTCATAGTCTATACCAAGGCCTCTGTGTCTTCTCACCCACTGCCCCTCCCCCAGGCAATGGTGACTGTACAACAGACTGCAGGAACAAGCATGCAAAGCTTCAAAAGACAGCAGCTGAGGCTTGGAACAGTGAGAGGCTACGAAATTCCATTGGTGAAGGTGCAGTTGTAGTGGCAGTGCAAGTCCTAGAACTGATGGGCTCATGCAAAGAAACTGAAGCTTAGTACCATGAAGAGAGCCTGATGAGAGGCTGTTGGAGAAAGTGAAGACAAGTTGCAACAGAAGATCCCATTGTTTTGGACAAGCCTGTACCTTAAGATGACCACCAAAACAACAACAATAGCTGAGTCAAACTAGCAGTTACCCAGACGAGCTGTGTGTACTTCAGAGGGCAGAGCTATAGAAGTGACTCAAACCATCTGGATGATTCCAGAAGATCATGAGTGGATCCCCAATATTGACCATTTGGAATGTTGTGGATAACGAAGATGTTAGAGATGCCAGAATCACAGAATACCTGCCGAGGAGAGATGCTAACAAGGGGTGGAACCAGGCAAAGAGAAAGAGCTGTGTTGCAGTCTGCACAGGTGAATAGAATTGGAGATGTGGAGAGCATTTGTTATCAGGCATGAAGATGCAGAGTTTGGAGTCTGTCCAGCTGTTTCCCTGTCCTTTTTGGTTCTACATATCCTTGCTTGGTTCCCTTTCCTGAATTTTGGAATGGTTATGTATCCCCTCTGCCTTTATTTATTGTAAGTGTGAACTGCTTTTTTACTTTGATTCTAACAGGTGGTTACAGTAAGAAATTGTCATGTGTCTCAGAAAAGATTTGGACTTCCAACTTTGAATCATTGTTGAGACTGTGATAGACTATGGGGACATTTGAAGTTTGACAAAACGTGTTTTGCATTATGATATTGTTACAAGTTTATGGGCTCCAGGGAGTATAATGTGGTAGTTTGAGTGTAATTGACTCCCATAATTCCATAACACCAAAATTTCAAAGGTAGAGGCACAATTAGGTAGTGTGGCTTTGCTTGAGTGGATAAGGCAGTATGGTCTTTTTCGAAAAAGGATGTCACTGTGGTGGCAGGATTTGAGGATTCAAATACTGATGATATTGCCCAATGTGTCAGTTCATTATCTGTTGTCTGCAAAGTGTAGTAGTCTGAGTTTCAGGACCACCTCTGCCTGCATGCCACCTGACTCCCCGCCATGATGAAATGAACCTTTGAACTGTAAGCCAGCAAACACATAAATGCTTCCTTGGTAAAAGTTGCTGTGGTCATGATGCCTCTTCACAGCAATAGTAAACACAAGCTGAGACAATGACTTAAAAATCCTAGAAGCAATGGGATGTTAAAACCCAGCCCCAGGTGCACCATATCCCCTTATGAGTTATTGACAGGAAGACTCCAGAGGCCCACAAAGCAATACAGACTCTTGTCATTGCTGCATGCTGCCCAGTACAACTAGATTCTATTGTTGAAGTCATCACACACCTTGATTGTATAAATAAACCTAAACCATTGGCAGTTTCCTCCATGATGTCCAGCTTTTATAGTGCCATTGTGTGCTATGCAGATTGTCTTTGAGAAAGGGCTTCAAATCATGTGTCCTATGATCTATGATAACAGCATGCCGGGAAATATGCGGCTACTTGTAATATTGTGATAGCACTGATAAGGATGTAGCACAGTACTCTGACTGGATTTGGGGCACATTGCACAGGAAGTAAGGCAATGCCTGATACCATAAACTGGCTCAAATCCCATGCTCAGGAAAATCATAGGCCTAGGGGCCTATGTGTGAATAATCCTGTTGTTTAGCTAAATTGACAAAAAGTTCAATTACTTTGCAAATATGCATATTAATAACTAGGATAAAAGACATAGGATAGGACAATGGAGATAAGAATATGTGAGAAGGGGAATGTGATTAGCAGGCAATGTGAAGACCATGGAGATATTAGAGATAAAAATGATCAAAGTACGTGATGTGCATGTATTAAAATATCAGAATACAGTCTCCTATCTTGTACAATACAGATTATACTTTTAGGAAAGAAA